GTGGGAGTGGAAATTCAGCCGAACTCCCAGCCCAGGGCTGTGGGGAATATGAGGAAGAAGCACAGTTTTCTAACTTCCCCAACCTGAGGAAATAGCTTTCTGTGTTCCTACAGAGAGCAAGGATGCATGCCGGCTGTCTTGTGTTTTTGTTTTAACGTTTCTTTTTGAAGAATATCAAATGTAAACTGTATTAGTCAAAGTTCTCCAGAGATACAGAACCAACAGGTCATGTGTATAGATATAGAGGAGATTCTTTATAAGGGATTAGCTTACATGATTATGGAAACTGAGAAGTCCCAAGGTCTGCCATTTGCACGCAGACGAGGAGAGCTGACCGTGGGACTCCAGTCCACGGAACGAGGAGAGCTGACCATGGAACTCCAGTCCACGGAACTCCAGTCCACAGAAGGTCCCAGGACCAGGAAGCCATTGTCTAAGTCCCAGCCTGAGTGTGAAGGTCCAAGAATCAGGAGCACCATGTCCAAGGGCAGAAAGTGGATGTCCCAGCTCAAGCAGAGAGAGTGAATTCAGCCTTCCTCTGTCTTTTTAAAAGAAGTATATTTTTATGGATTTTAGAGAGGAATAAAGCAGGAGAGAGAGATAGAAACATCAATGATGAGAGAGAACCATTGATGGGCTGCTTCCTGCATGGCCCCCACTGGGAACCAAGCCCCAAACCTAGGAATGTGCCCTGACTGGTAATCAAACCATGACTCCTGGTTTATAGGTTGACACTCAATCACTGAGCCATGCTGGCCAGGCTCCTCTGCCTTTTTGTTCTACACAGGTCCTCAGTGGATTGGATGACACCAACCCACATGATGAGATGTTTCTTTATTCAGTCTATATTCATTTGCTCATTATTTCCAGAAGCATCCTCATAAACATCCCCAGAAATAATGTTTTACCAGCTCTCTGGGCATCCCTTAGCCCAATCAAGTTGACATATAAAACTAATCATTACAAAAACAAAAGTAGAAAGAATAATATAATGAACCCTCATGTATCCTTCATATAATGTCAAAAATTATAAACTCAATACCAATCTAGTTTCATCTATACTCCTCACCCTGAGAGAAGTAAGAAACTTCTAGACATCATCCTATCTAATAAAGAGGGAATATGCTAATTGATCATCACACCCTCACAAAGATGGAGGTGCCCACAGCCAATAAGAAGGGAATATGCTAATTGACCACCATACCCTCAAAAATGGTGGTGCCAACAGCCACAAGATGGTGACACCCAGTTCCCTTAGCCCCGCCAGGGTGGCAGGTGCATGGCATGACTAGACACTCCCCGCCCACCCCCAACCCCACCCCCCCCCACCCTGCTATCACCACCATATTTAGCAGAGGGCTGTTGTGACACCAATCACACTGATTGTAGCATGGCTGTTTTGCACAGATTTTGAAAGTTGTATCTACTTGATGCCAACACAACCTGGAGAAAAGCAAGAATTTTGTCCTCAGTCTTGGAAAAAATTTTAGATGTCTACATGACTGGTATGCTTGATTTATTTCCATTTGTTGAGTAAAGGGTCTTACCCCAGATCCGATGTTTAGCTCCAAAATAGTTATTAGAAATATATATATTATTAATTTCAGAGAGGAAGGAAGAGGGAGAGAGAGATAGAAACATTAATGATGAGATAGAATCATTGATTGACTGCCTCCTGCATGTGCCACACTAGGGATTGAGCCTGCAACCTGGGAATGTGCCCTTGGCTGGAATGGAAACCAGGGACCCTACAGGCTGAAGCTCTACCCACTGAGCCAAACTGGCTAGGGCCAAAGTAGCTCTTGAAACAAATGCTTCTGGGCCCCATAAACATGATGCTCTACAGGACCCTTTCTGCAGGTGGTCAGGGTGGAGACAGAGGTGACAGTGCTATTTCTACCCTACAGGGTCATGGTTTCCATTTTGGATTGGGAATTATAGATTGACCCTTCACCTTTCATTTGTTTTTTAATACTTTTTACTGAGTTTTACATACTAAGCCTGAAAATATGCCCTAGGTGTTGGTTTTGGCAGGAAGAACATACAAAGAAAATACCCCAATGGATGGAGTATTCCTACAAATCTTTCTGTCCTCAAGAATCTGCTTTGCTGTACTTCTGTGGACTTTAATGGGGGAGGTAAAAAACAGTTATCTCAGCATGATGGAAGAATATCGAAAGTAAGAGTAATTCTGGGTCATGTGCTGGGAAATGTGGATTCCAGTTCTAACTCAGCCAAGAATGGTTGTGACCTTGTGGATAACCCCATTTCTGAGCCCCATTCTCCTCATTTGTGAAATAAGGGTGGGTAAGAGAGTAATCATTTCATTCTTGGAGACAGCACTGCATTTATGTTTTTAGAATTCTCTGTACTGCTTACAGCCTTCATAGCTATCTCCTCGTTTGATTCACAATGACCCTTTAGGAAGGTTTGACAGGGATTAGCATTATCCCCATTAGACAGATCAGTGCATTGAGGCTTAGGAATGGTAGGTGTTTACCCAATATTTCCTTAAAAATGCAACTCCCCTTCCTAATCCACAATAATTCCTTACTAGCAGGAGGCGAGTGCCTGTTGATATATTGGTGAATGTGGGCATCTGTCTTGAGTTTCTCTGACGTGTAAATATGAAGGATACAGTTAGCAGGTGGATTTCCCTAGGTTTACAGTGCTGATCTCTTCCTTGACGATTGCTTTTGTCTGATGGAAAATTGGGAGCAAATTAAGTGTCTAAGAATAGAGTATAATTAAGTAATTTCATGGTACACTCGCTTGTTGGAATACTATGAAAACATTTAAAATGAAAATTATGAAGATAATCATGTAGAAGGACCGGAACATTTCTGATAGAATTTTAAGTTTAAAAAGCAGGATAAAAATATGCAGATTATGGCGATGAATTTGATATATATGCATATTGACAAAGCCTGAAATAGAACAGGAAACAGTTCCTAGTAGCCAGGTATTCAGTCTTTTCATTTTTAAGATTCTTTTTTAGTGGTTGCATTGTGTTTACTTGACAGGTAATGGGAAAAGGAAAGAGTTGCTGGCAGGACTTGGTTGAAATGATCTTCTGGCATGAGGCTTGGGAGGTCTCCCCTGACTGCCTTCCTCCCTGGGTTCTCTGGGGGCCGCGGGGGTATTTAGGGTGCGGAAGAGGATGCATGGGTTTGTGAGAAGAAGGTGTGCCCTGGGATCTTGCCCTGCTGTCACTGCTGGAAACATGGTTACTGTCTTTTTTCCTTTGCCTCACCTCACTTCTCCTGTTCTTCATTCTTCAAGTCTCAACCTACAAGTCACTTTCCTGGAGTCAATCCCACCTGCCCTCCCTACTTCCCACCCACTAGGCTATGGGCCCTCCTACGGGTCCCTTCCCCAGCACCTCAAGCTGTCACCCATCTCTGCACCTGGCAGGCGTGGTGATTGTATTTGCATTTTAGAGGCCCCTTCTGGGCTGCAAGGGATGGGGTCCTAGGAGCATCTGCATCAGTCCTTTGCCCTGACACAGCACAGATATCTTCAGTGGATGGTCCTCCTCATCTTTAAAAGGGGGCCTGATTGGGACAAAAGGAATTTCTTCTTCCAGTTCCACATTCTGTAATTTTACCATCCAGTTTGTACCAGATTCATTATATCAAGGAGCCCCTGGGATTTGAAGACAAACCCCAAATTGGAAAATGGCCTCTGTCTATCTGCCTGTGAACACTGCATACCTGAGTGTGGACTGCAGGCTGATCTGAAGGTCATGTTGGGAGTTTTCACGGCAGGTAGGCTGGGCGCGGGAACAGTCTTAGCAGTCCGCTGGACCACCTGGCTGCAGGGTGAGGGCATTTTGCTTTTCTCTTGCTTGTGCCTGGAAGGCCAGCCACAGGCCACATGTGACAGTGTGGCTGAGCCTCCGAGTGTGAATCTGACTAGCCAAGAAGAGCTGAGTTCCCCCGATGTCCTGTGTGCACCTGCCTGCTGTGGAAGTGGGCGTGTCTGTGCACATGGCTGGCTGTGTCTGTGTCAGAGCGGGGCGAATACTGGTGGAATGACTGGGTTTTCCGGGCAGTGTCTCTGTGTAGAATGTTTGCACACGGCTTGGAGGATGAGTGGGCTTCAATTCAACACGTGATTACTGCCCGCTTTGTGCGGCAGGCAGGGCGCATACGTATCTGCACTGTGCACATAGCTGCATTGTGCTCGCCTCTGTGTGTCTTTGGGAATGTGTTCTTGGCATGCACACCTCCTGCACGAACAAGGCTTTGGGTGTGCACATGCCTGGGCTCTGTGTGCGGCTGCTGGCTCGCGCACCAGCTCCGCTCGTGTCCGCAGTCAGGCGCGGCACGTGCGTCGGCCTCCACGCACGCAAGTCCCCGGGTGACCCGCGAGTGCAAGGCTCTCCGGGGCGTGTGCATTTGGTGCGCTCCTGCCTGTCTCCTCGCACGCAGGCACGGACACACCTCCACATGTCTGAGTGCACGTTCCCCTCGGTGCTAAGTGCGGGGCGCTTCGCGCGCGTGTGCTCCGGGCTGCGGGCGCCCGGGCAGCCGCGCTGGGTTCCCTGCGTCCCCCGGGGCTGACCCCCGCCCCACCCCTCCGCTCCGGGCCGCGGGCCGCCGCGATTGGCCGCCCGCTCCCCCTCCGCCGTCATCCCTCCCTCTCCTCTCCCTCCTCCCCCCCCCCCCCCCCCCCCGCCACCCGCGCGCCCCCGGTCCCCGCTGTCCCCCGCGGTTCCGGCGAGGCCGCGCCGCGCCGCGCTCCGTTCCCATTGGCTGCGCGCGCCTTTGTGTGGCGGCAGCTGCGGCCCCAGCGCCTTTGAATGTCGAGAGGAGCCGGGAAGGGAGCCTTTCCATGGGCCATCTGTCTCCCCGCCAGCCGCCGCCCCGCCGCCGCCCGCGCCCCGCGCTCCGCCTCCCGCCCCGGCGGCTCCCGCAGCCCCGCCGCCCGCGCCCGCGCCCGGGAGCCGCGCCACAAAGGGCCCGCGCGCTGCCGCCGCCGCCGCGCGAGGAGCCAGGATGGTCCTGGTCCACGTCGGCTATCTCGTGCTTCCCGTGTTCGGCTCTGTGCGAAACAGAGGTATCGCTTTCTCCTTTCGGGGGCCGCCTCGGAGCGGGGGTCGCCGCGGGCACCGGGGCGGGGGCGGGCGCCGGGGCGCCGGGGCGGCGGGGGGCTCCGGGCACACCCGTGGGGCGCAGGGCGAGCCGCGGCTTCTCCCCTCTCCCTTTTTGGGGGGGGACCCCCTGAATGAGGGGGCGGCCGCCCTCGTGGGAGCTTTCGTAGTGAAGTTAGGGTTTGGCGGATTGAGTCCCTCCCTCCCCAGCCCCATTTTTCATTCTTTGCGGCGATCGCAGTGCCCCCAGTCACAGCCCCTTCCCCCGATCCCAGCCCCGTGTGATCGGCAGGAGATTCATGCCTGTGCGCGCGCGTGTGCGTGGGATCGTGTGTGTGTGTGTGTGTGTGTGTGTGTGTAAACATACTTCGTTTTCTGTGATGTGCTTTTTTTTTTTTTTTTTTTTTTTAGGTATATGTGTGTTTTGTGTGTTTTTTTGTGTGTGTGTGTGTTTGTGTTTCATTTTTTGGCCATGGATACGTATGACTGGGTAGCTGGGATCTGGTCTTGGCCCCATCCCGTGCCCTAGCCCCCAGCCCTCTCTTGGGCATTTGCATGATTTCCCGTCCCATCCTTTTCTCCCTTGAATCCTTTCTGTATTTTGCCCTTGTGCCACCCCTTTACTCCCCATTGCCTTTGTATGACAGTTGCATTCACGGGTTCAAAATGCTTGGGTGTGTGCATGTGCGTGTGTGCGTGTGTGCGCAAGAGTGTGCGCGCCTCGGAGAGTCAGGCGTGCACTGCTGGGCACCTCTGGGCCCAGCCCGAGCCGGTGCCCGGCCCTTGTGTGTTGCTGCGAGGACGAGGTGGGGAGCTGCCCTGCCTGGCCGCTGCCGGGGCAGGCGTGGACCCCGCAGCAGGCCAGCGCCGGCTTTGTTTTTAACTGTGATAGATGGGGTGTGTTTGCACGGTCCCCTTCCCCACATCCCTTTCCCTAACATTCTGCTACCATAGCTTGATTTCCCTCTCCCCGCATTTCTTCCATCCTCTTTTAATAATAATAATTTTTTAAAAATCCCCACTTCCCAAAGCATATCCGGATGCATTTGGATTCATTTTTCATTCTTTTTGTATTCTGCTTCTGGACTCACATTTTTCTTCTTGGAATTGTTTCTTCTGTCCTCTCCCACTCCCCTTCTGCTTCAATCCCTGCTGGCGAAGCCCTCCCCTCCCCTCCTGCAGGCAAGGATGATGTCTTCCCTTAGCTACCCTACTGGCTGCTCCACCAAGACCGAGGGGGGTGGGCGGGTGGGGGGGTCGAGGGGCCAGAGCCTCAGTGCGCCCCAGGGGCCCGATTGGGCGAGAAAAGGAAAGCCCAGCCCCCTTTCTCCCAGCCCAGCTGTCCCCAATCCCACGCCTCTCCCCAGAACCCAAATGGCAAGGTTGACCCTCTTAGGCCTGTTTGAACCGCAGTTTTTTTTGTGTGTGATGATAGAACGATGACATTCTGCATTTATCAAATCTTTTTTTTTTCTTCATTGTGTAGCTCAGTGAATGGTCAACTCGCTGCTGTGTGCGCTGTGACCCTCTGCCTCCGCATTTAGCTGTATTGTGACACCCCTCTTAACCATCTCCTGTCTCCATCTGAGGAAGCATTGCTATTTAAGCGGCAGTATCCCCTATCTCAGGCCAGCCTAGCACTGGAGAGGGGTGGGGGGAAGTGGGTGTGTGAGGAATTGGAATGGGGGGGCTGGATGAGGTCTCCCTTGATATGCCAACGCCCCCTCCCCCAAATCACAGTCATGTTTTATTACTTGGCATTTCCTCTGAAAACGAGTGTGGGACATTACACGAGGCAGAAATTAAAAAATGATTAAGAAGGATGTTGAGCCTGAAAGTATAATTATCCTGATTAAATCATTATCATCCTCATTAATACCACCGATCTCTAAATACCATTGCAGGATGCCGAGTCCATGTTTTGAAATTCAAATTGCTCAGCTGTCTTTAAATTTTATTTTTAATTACCCCTTCCCCTCACTCACCTCCCCCCCCCCCAAAAAAAAAAATCCAACAGAAAATACCCTGCTCTTAGGTCAAAGTTTACTTTCAAACATGCCCACAAGAAATTCAAGGGCTGAGGATGACTGGGCTGTGGGTAAAAATGAGCACAGTGTGATAAGAATTCATGACCTTCTGATAGAGGATACTAATGCTTAACCCAACGAGGTCCTAAACCACAATCTTCTTGTAAAACTATTAGACAGCCTGCAAGCTTAAATCTGTTCTTTTTAGTTTCCATTGTAGTAATATAGGATGTAGGCCATTTCAGAATAGATGTAGAGAAATAACCATTTTTGTATCTTCATCTTGTTTAGCCGAGTACATTGCACTGTAAATCCCTGTTAAGTGGATTCCTTTTGCCTTGCCTTGGCTTGGAGGCCATCGCACCCCATTTTCCACTTATCTGGGTGACCATCAGCTACCTTTCCGGCAGCACCCAGGCATAAGTGAACAGATCACATTTAGTCGGAGGCAAAAAATAATTACACCTCTGAAAACCTTTGATAAAATGAGAGTTGCTGCTATTCCGTGGCCTCTGAAAATTTGGTGCAGCAAGGTCCCTGGCTTAAGGGGAAGCCATGGCCCATGGTGTCTTAATTGTTTAATTGTAAAATGTCAAGTGCATCTTTGGACATCTGCCTTGGCCCTCAGAGCTGCCCCTTTAATGGCCGGCTCTCCTCTGCAGCCTCACTGGCCAGACCTGCTTGAGACAAAACAGAACAATAATGAAAGAATAAGGCCCCTCCTTCAAGGGCCCTTCCAAAATAAAGTCACAAGTGGCCTCCCTAGATTGCCGTGTGGCAATCTGAAAATAAAAGGGGGCGGGGGCTGGGGGAAAAGAAAAAAAAAAAAAAAAAAAGAACCAAAAAGGAATCAATCCCCAGCAAAACGGTGTTCCATTAAACAGGGATAACGTGTTCTGCTGTGCTGAATTACTTCCTGTTCTTATTTTGTGGGTAATTTTTTTCTGTACCAAATATCCTTTTGGTTGTGTATCTTTTTTCACCTTTTCTTGTACTAAAACTAAAGCATGATCTGTATTTTTTTCCATCCCCCAGTTGACAATGTACAGCGCTCGGTTAGAGATGTTACCCTGCTGAACTGCACTGTGGTCGTGTAGCCCCGGCCATCTGCTCATTGTACGCTGCTTTTGTTCTGTTGCCCTTCGAAGCATGGTGGACCCAGCCCTTTTCTTTTTTCCTTTTTTTTTTTTTTTTCTTTTTTGTATCGTGTGCATGACAACATTGTTACACACAGAATCCACTAATACTAATATACAATCTCTCAATAAAGAACTAGTTTCCTATATTAACCTAGTGTGCTTTTTCTCTTGCTGTTTCCCCATTTATTGTCGAATCCCGCTGTTTAGATATCCCCCTCGCTTTTCTACCCCCACCCTCACCCACCCACCACTCCCACCTCCCATTGTAAGACATGAGTGAATGCCTTTTTTTTTTTTCCCTTTTGTTTTGTGGCACAGATATGGTGACCTTAATCTCATCCAGTCCCTATCTTTTCACAATAGACCACTGAGATGATGGGAGGGGCGGTGGTCCTGTCACACCCAAATGGCTCGCTCAGCTGCGTAGAGAGAACTCCTATCGTTGGCCACCGGTCCAGCTAGGAGCCTCCACATTTCATCCTGGTTTCCCAGTTACATGGCACTCGGGTTGTGATGCTGGTGACGAGAAGGAGCTATAACACTCACGTTTGAGAAAAGGGATACTGTTCTTAACTAGCAATCTTGTAGCATTTTAGATGTGCCTGAAAAACTCATTTTTCTCAGTTGTGTTTAAACTTTTCCTTTTACCGTCTCATTGATTGACTGTCCTTCAAAACCATTCTGGGGGTCGGGGGTGGGGGTGGGGGTGACATGTCCCATGAGGGTGAAGTCATGATCTGGAATTTTAAAGAACCCTCTTCTGTGTGCATATTTACATTTTGGGGACTGGCGATGTGAGATGTGCATGCAGATCTTGCAGAAGGAGGATGCGTGAAACAGAAGCCAATCGGATCGCCCCTGCATTCATCCCAGGGCCAGCCGCCTGACCTGTTAGCATAGGAATAAGGGGTCTGTGCCCTCTGCAGGCTGGGAGCCAGTTAAAGCTGATTATAGCCTAGTCCCTGACAGCTGTCTCATCGGTGGCCCTAGTGCCTCTCCTGAGAAAGAAAGCCAGAGCTCTTGGCATTGTGTGTGTGTGTGTGTCTGTTGGGGAAAGGGGGCGGAGGGGGATCAAGAAGGAAGCCAGCACCTACCTGGAAATTGAATTGGAAGAAGAGGCCTTAAAAATGCATCTTTCTCCATAATTCCATTGGAGAGGTATTCCCTCCCCCACCCCCACCCCCACCCCCCTCAGTGGAACCCAAATTCAAGCATTTGTCAATTACAGCTATTCAGTGTCAGCCCAGAAACAAGCCTTGCTCAATGAGGTGTTTTAGACACCAAGGAAATCAGTGGATTGAAGAAATCCACGGTGCCTTCAAAGGGTCATCATTTTGGAGCCACTTTTTCTTGGGCTGACATGACGCTTCCTCTCTCCTCTGGGCTGTCTCTCCGGCTTGCCTCTGCCCTTCTGCCGGCCTTCCTTCCTGGGCAGGCGCATCCCTGTCTGACCACAATGCTTCCTGGCCCCTCTATGGCCAAGGGGGTAGGGGTTCTCTCCTCTCCCTCACTGCTTTCCTTGTGGCTCCAGCCCTTTGTTCTCCTGCTCTCCCAGCCCGAGTGGGAAAGCTGAGCTGATTTACTGTGACACATGGACACACACGGAAGTCCCCAGTGGAGCTCATGCTGTAGTTGCACAAGGAGAGATACAGGTCTTCCAGGATTTTTCTTCCTTTTCTCCTCCTCCTCCTTTCATTTTGCTTTACACGAAACTTTACATTTTGTAACCAGTTTAAGAAATAAAACAACCCACCCCTCAACAATAATAAAACGACTGCAAATCAGAGGTTCCCACCTAAT